ACACACAGCGCACTGAACTAACCCAGCATGTGAGTGTGTGTGTGTGTGTGTGTGTGTGTGTGTGTGTGTGCACGTGCGCTCATACCCCACAGCCTGCACCAGCCTGGCCAGGTGCCAGGGAGTCAAAGGTACCCCCAGAGGCAGCTCTCCCCCAGAAATCCTGATCTGAGCCTCTAAGAATCCTCCCTCAAGCGGATGGAGATGGTGCGGGTGGGGCTGATCTTGCTCTCCAGACTGTCCTCAGAGACAGGACAGAATCTGTTCTCTGTGTGCACAGCCAGTGACCAAGATCAAGGGGCACTGAACCAAGTGTCTCTCCCCGGTCAGCCACTCAGCTGCCACCAGGATGACTTGACCTCAGGGACACACATATATGCAGGTTGCCCCATGTGTCCCTCCCTCACCTGCCACTCAGCGATCATTCACCAAGTCCCAGAACTGGGCACTGGGCTAAGCACCCAGGACATGACACACAAAGCCCCCAGCCGGCTTTTTGGGTTTAGTGCATCAGCTGCACAGAGCAAGTGACAGAAACATGCACCCGTGGCCGTGAACAGAGGGAAGAAAGGGACTGTGCGTACCCCAGAAAGAGGGCCCACTCCCTCTCTTGTTGGACTGGACCAGAGGACTTCCTGGTGGAAGAATACTTCAGCTGAGACCCAGAGACTGAGGAGGTGGTGACCAAAGCCACGTGCTGATAGCTGGGTGGGGGAAGGGTCCTGACAGAAGGGCCTGAGACTGCAGGAGGAAGCACGCTTGGGGACCAGAGGGTCACAAGGCAGAAAAAAAGCTACATCAAGAGGCCGGCTGGACGAGGGGTGCTGGAGAGAGGGCTGTGTTGGTGAAGTGCCGGTCTTGTGAGCACAGGGGCCTGAGCACCATCCCTGCTCCTGTGTGAAAAGCTGTAATCGCGGCCAGCATTTGAAATCCCTGCTCTGGGGAGGCAGACACAAACATATTCCAAGGGCTGTCAGGCTACCCAGCCTATCCTAGTCGGTAAGTCTCAGGTCCCGGGAGACACTCTGTCTCAAAAATAAGGTGGACGGCACCGGAGGAAAGACACGTGAAGTTGACCTCTGACTTCCATGTGGACGTGCACACCTGTGCACGTATGCACCTGCACATGAACATGGAATAAAAGGTCCCACGAGGGCCGGCTCTCAGGCCATCTTGCCCAGAGTCCTGGCTGTGAGGAGAGGAGACCTGGTGACCTCTGCCATGGACTCTTTAGTGCTAACTACTACTGTACTATGCATACATAGTACTATACTATGCATACAGGCCATAGTTAGAGAGGACGAGGGATGGGGTCAGCCTGGGGACATGGGAAAAGTCAGAACCCAAAAGGAACTGGCGTAGTCAGAGATTCCTTACCCCACCCAGGGAGGGTGGTTTGTCCTCAGCTGCCACCAGTGATACAGTCTACAGAAGATAAAGAATTAAAAGGCAGGAAAGGTCTGGAACATGACCAGTAGCAGCAGGGAAACCTCCAGCGCGGCAGACAGGACCAGCAGGTAAAGGAAGGCGGTTTCTGGAGGGAGAGGGAACGCGCATGTTCCCTCCGTAGAGCAGAGTGACCAGATTCCCAGTGTAAAGCTAGGACAGTTGCCTAGCCCATGTTGTGTCCCATGTCCCGATCCAGCCTTGCCCACCGGGATGCCAAACGGTGGGAGACCAAAGCTGCCAGGCTTTTGTTTCAAGTCAGGAGGTTGAGGAAGAATATGACCATGTTGGAAATTTGCCACTTTCATTACCTAGTTATGGTCCCTTCTTCCTGTCTGCCTGCCTACCAGGGGGCCTGTCTACCTCCTGACCTCTCACCAGGACGACTCAAACCTCAGGTACAGCGAGGGAAGCATGCAAACGTGTACACACAGACTTGCACACAGATCCATGCATAATCGTGCACATGCTAGCATACACAGTCTATTCAGATACACACACACACACACACCATACAGATACACTCCCAGATACATACACACAACACACACACACACACACAAAACAATGGAGAGAGAGAGAGAGAGAGAGAGAGAGAGAGAGAGAGAGAGAGAGAGAAAGAGAGAGAGAGAGAGAGATATTCCCAGTCTCCTCCAAACACACCTGGTTGTACACATATCGATAGGACACCAACCAGGAAGACCTGGCCATAGAAACTGTTTGCCTCCATAGGGAGACAGGCTCAGTTGGGAGAGACAAAAGCTAGTGGTCCAGCTATGCCACCTGGGTGGGGTCCTCAAGCCTTGTGCCCTGTTCCTCCTCCCCATAGCTGCTTAATGATGGACAGGGAGCCCCCTTGGGAAGGCCTTGCAGCTTCTGAGAGGGTTGCAAGCAGGTGGCTATTCTCTAGCTCTGCCGTCAAAGGGAGGTGGCTGCTCTTTTGTCCCCTCTCTCCCCCGAGAGCTCCTGTGACTGCTCCCAGCCCATCCACCCCCCTTCCCACGGAGTCTTCGCTCCCGCCCCCCACTTCCCAGCAGAAGGGCTGGAGCCAGACAATGAGATAAGGGCTTGTTTTCTATGGGCTGGAATTCGGGAATTAGGCAGAGCTTGTGGGTCAGGGCCAGAGCACCCCGCTATGGGGAGGCAGGGAGCCTTTCTACTAGGTGCAAGTCCCTGGGGCCTCAGACCTACAGGGACTTGACCTCTGCATGCTTTGAGGATAGCTCTGCTAGGAGATGGGGAGAGGGGAAGAATCCCTTAGAGTTGGTTCTGTTCCTGCAGGTGGCCTCTGAGCCTCATGGCCACTCCTCCTCACTTCTCCAGCCCCCGGGACTTCCAACAGGGTCTGCCCCCTTACCATGGCCCATGCTGCCCCTTCCCTGTCACCCTCCCCACTCCATCACCTGCTTAGTACAATTCCCTGTCTTCAAAGACTATTGCTTCCTCCAGGAAGCCTGCCTGGTGGTAGACCCAGCAGGAGGATGGTGAAGTGACAGAGAGGGGGCAGGGTCAGCATCTGAGACAGGCTGGAATCTCTGAGGGGTACTGGCCTCTCTGCCCTGTGAGGCCCTCTCAGACCAGCTTGCTCTCAACACACCACAGACAGACAACAAGCAGGGCTGAGTTCCCAACCTCCCTGTATGAGGGAGGTCACCCTTTGGTCCTGGTGAGTCAGTGTAGTCCACAATAGAAGCACCGAGTTCCGGGGTCTTGCAGCTCCAACATAAGAATGAAGAGTCAAGTCTCCCATGAGCCAGGCACAGGGTCAGTACAGCCTCCCAACCGCCCATCCTGGGTACAACTGACACACAGCTGGGAGTGGAGTGGGGGAATCTTATTTTTCTTGCTATTGTTTTGTTTTTCTGAGACAGAGTCTTTGACTCCAGTGTAAGCTGGCCTGAAACTCTCAACCATCCTCCTGCCTCAGCCTCCCACAGGACTGGAATTACAGGCATGAGCCACCACATCTACCTTTTGCAGTGCTGGGGAATCAATCCAAGGGTCTTGTACTTGCTGGTAGGTGGCTCTGTCACACAGTGTTCTTGGGCATGACTTCCATGGAAGCATCTTGTCTCTCCAGGGCAATGGTGTAGGAAGGATACCTAGATAACTCTGTAACTGTTTCCCATAATGCCCTGGGAGATTACACCGCCTGCTTCAGGTGAAGACAATCTTTGTGTCCCCTGCCTGGAACCTAGCTAGTGCTCAGTAAAACCATATTGAAGTCTGAACATAGTGGCTTATTCCTATAATCCCAGCACTTGGGGACTGTGCAGAATGAGATCTACAGCGTGAGAAGAAACAAACAACCTTAACACAGGCACTAGAGAGACGGCTCAACACTGAAACAGGCGGAGAGCTCATCCTTGCAGAGAGCCCGAGTTTGGGTACCAGCACCCACACCTGTAACTCCAGCTCCAGGGTGTCCAAAGCCCTCTGGACCCAATGGGCGACTATACTCATGTGTACACACAATTTTAAAGGTTTTAAATACATTTTATTAAAAAGGAGAGAGGAGAGGAGGGAGAGAGAACGGGAGAAGTACCCCGTTTGGCAGAGTGTTTGCCTGGCATCCAAGTCCTAAATTCAGTTCCTAACACAGCATAATCTGGGCATGGTGCCACACACCTGGCACCCCAAGCAGGACAGTCAGAAGTTCAAGGTCACGTAGGCTACACAGTGAGTTCAGAACGAGCCTGGGATACATGAGACCCTGTTTCGGAAGGGAAAATTAAAGACTTCAACGGTGGAAAGCTACTCTCTAGGGTCAACATGGTACCACATATGATTCCTGGAGCTCAGCGGTATTCCAGGCTGTTTAGTGGCAGGGACGCTTAACTATTCTAAATCTGCAGTGTCGGGAGCAGGGCCAGGTACACGCTGAAAGGCACCTGGACGTCAACTGCATAAAAGATTACCCTTGCCCGGCGGTGGTGGTGCATGCCTTTAATGGCAGCACTGGGGAGGCAGAGGCAGGTGGATCTCTGTGAGTTCAAGGCCATCCTGGTCTACGAGAGCTAGTTCCAGGACAGGCTCCAAAGCTCTTCCCAAAGAGAAACCCTATCTCAAAAAATCAGAAGAAGAAGAAGAAGAAGAAAAAAAAAAGATTACCCTTTCAGCAAAGCTCCCAAATTCTCAGGCTGCACGGCGAACATGAACTACAACTCCCAGCATGACTGCGGGAGTCACAATGTTTAGCGTTGCAGAAAGGACTCCAACTCCCAGAGTGCCCCCGGCCTATCCAGCTCCTGTCTGCACGGGGTCAAAGTAGCCCAGCCTCTCGGATCTCCCGCACTCCGGAAGAGAGTGTCCACCGCTCCTGCGGGAGAGGAAGGCGGGTTTCTCAGCCATGCTCCGCAGACTGGCCCGGACCGTGGTCCCGGGGCTCAAGGTGCCCTGGGCGCGGTGGTCTAGGAACTGGGCGGGGGTCCCAGACCAGGTGGTAGACCTGCGCAGCGACACGGTGACCCGGCCAGGGCCGGCCATGAGGCGCGCCATGGCCGAGGCGATCGTGGGAGACGACGATTACGGCGAAGACCCCACAGTCCTCGGTGAGCCGGGCGAGCAGGCCCGGGGCAGGGGTCGTTGCGGTGACCCCGGGGCGCTGTCCGTGGTGCTGACCGGAGGACAGCGTGGACGCAGAGCTGTGCCTCACGCCATTTGAGGACACACCTACAAGCTAGGTGGTGCACCCTGCGCCCCTGCTCGTTCTCCGGGAGAGCCTTGGTAATGCAGACTCTTGAGCTCCACGTTGGACTCGGGGAGCCAGAATCTGCATTTTAACAGGACAACCGGGTGATTTCTGTCCACTGTCACCCAACTGCCCAGATGGGTGTTGTACAATCTTGCAAAGAAAGGCCCTGAGGTGGCCAGAGAGGCGCTCAAGGACCCATATCAGGAATAGGGAAAAACCAGGGTTTGAGGCAGGTCGGACTGATGGAATATTCACTGACTGACTTCACCAAGACAAAACCAAATGAGGGAAGGTTTCTGGGCTTGCTGCACATTCCCATGGGCAAAGTTTCATAGCCTAGGGAGTGCTTTAGGGAGACAGCAAACCAAAGCCCACCCGAGGTCGGTAGGCACTGTTAAAGTGACCTCTAGTGTTGCTGGGGTGTGTGGATCCAGAGATAAACCGCACATCACCGCTTTGATCCCCGGAGGCCTGTTCGTGGGCTCAGGGATTATTGTGGCTGTTACCAGGAACTTCAAAGATGTTGAGCTTCTCTGCTCAGCCCACACCTGGGGTGTAAACAGGTCCCCACATCAAGGCTGGGGAGGATGTCTTTTGAACCCCTGGGGTGCCGGTGGGGGGGTCTGGGAGGAGGAGAGTGGCAGCATTCAGGGTGCAGGGAGACACCTGTGTCTTCTGGGGACAGGATCTAGATCGGGAAGCCACCACAGACTTTAGACAGGCCTTGCGCTCACCCACCAGATGCACCCTTTATGCCCTGCCAGCTCCCCAGAGACTCCTCCGTGGTGCTGTGCAGAGGAAGTCTGCAGGGAAACCGCAGGGCCTCACCTGCTGGGGCTGATGGGAAAAGAAGAAAAACAGGTGTGAGGTGAGGTGGGGTGGGAAAGGAGGCTCAAACCACAAGGGAGTTTCGGTGGCCTGGGGCAGGGCACTGCGGCCCAGGAGGAGGTAGCAGGCAGAAGATTGACAGAGGGCCCTCTCTGGACATGGCACGTGGTTACCTGACCACAGACTACACAGATGGTGGATGGGCTCCAAGCCCTGCCAGTAAGACCGTGGGCTCTCATCTGAGCAAATTCACTTTTTGGGGGGAGGGAGTGGCTTCCAAGGTCTTGCTGAGCAGCTCAGGCTGCCTTCAAGCCGTTGTCCTACTTCAGCAGAGTGCTCGAGTGGCGGGGTACCGCCATCACACCCAGTATCGGGTGCACATTGAACTGGACCAGGGCACAGCGGCTCTGAGCAATGGTTGATAGGCATTCTGGCCCCGCCCTCCCTTCTTGCTTCTCAGAACTGCAGGAGAAGGCTGCAAAGCTGCTTGGGGTGGAGCAGACCCTGTTTGTGCCAACGAACACCATGGCCAACCTCATCTCTGGTGAGTGTCCGCCCACCCTCGGAGTTGGGGTCTGCAGCTCTCTGGTGGACACATGGCTGGGTTTCTTTTGGGTGCAGTCAGTGGAGCACCTGGGCAGAAGGCAATGGGAGGAGTGAGGTCTACAAGTCTCTGCCACTTCCAGCTCTTCCTCCTGGGTGCTGCTGGTGCCCAGAGCTGCCCGTTACGGGGGCCAGCACCCCAGAGCTCTCTCCTGCTGGAAGTGTCCTGCAGTGGGCCACGGCACTCTGGCGCTCAGATGCAGTGTTAGCGCGCAGCATTCATGGTGAAGCCATGCCAGAGTTGTGCAGCACGTGGCAGAGAAGCGTCTGGAGGGGTGCTGCTTCCTAACCGACAGTCTGAGCTCACTGGGGCTCCAGGCTTAGCCTGGCCACACTGAGCAGGGGCAGTGGGACCCTCCTGGACCCAGTTCCAAGTCCTGCCCTCCTCCCATCTATCTCAGTGATGGGTCACTGCCGGCGCCGGGGTTCCCAAGTCCTCCTTGGGCAGGAATGCCACCTCCACGTCTATGAGCAGGGCGGGGTGGCTCAGGTAAGGACCAGGCACCACTCCCCTGGGACTTTGGACATCCTCCCGCCAGTCAGGATGCCAGGGCAGGCACCTGCTTCCCAGGCACCAGGCAGAGAAGAGAAGGCACAGGGAAGCAATCAAGGGAGATGGGAGGGAGGGCCTGGGCCCAGATTTGCTCATCTGCCTCGGTGCCTTACTGCCCCCTAGTGGGCAGACGGAGCACTAGCACTCCAGAAAGAAGCTTTTGAACTGTTCTAAGCAGCAAGGGACCGGGCAGCCTCCCCAGCTAGGACGCTGTGTGCTCAGAACAAAGACTCTGGGGCCCAGAGGTGGCCCCTACTGCAGAGGAAACTTCCTGTCTGGAGGTGCCACTCCACCCATATGATCCAGTGCCCTCTCTTGCCTGCAGATCGCCGGGGTGCATTCCCAGCCCCTCCCGGACATGCCCCATGGCACCTTGGACCTGAACGAGCTGGAGAGGGCACTCACTCGGGGTTTCGGGAACTCCTACCATCCAGTCTGTGAGCTTGTGTGCCTGGAGAACACACACAGCAGCGCTGGGGGCCGGGTGCTCCCCATCGACTACCTCCGCCAGGTAGGGTCCTGCCCATCTGGGCCCCAGTGCCAGCGCACTCTTGACGTCCTGTGCCCCTTGAACTGTCCCTGTTCCTAGGGACGAATCCCCTCTGACACATGCTATGGGTGCCCATCAGGGACCCGACTGTCATAGGGGAATGTGTTGGTCCTGGGTTGAAAATGGCTGGAATTTATCACTCTGGCTTCAGGATCCTGTTCTATCTGGGGATAAAAAGTTCACATGTGTGGCACGGGGTGACTCCTCAGGTCCCAAATACACAGAGCCACCAGGCTTCTGACTCTAGACCCCTTGTGGTTCCTCAAGATGCCAAGCTCTGGGGAGACTGAGAGATGGCTCAGTGGTTAAGAGCAGTTGCTGCTCTTCCAGAGGACCTGGGCTTGGCTAGATCAGAACACCTGTATCTCCAGCTCCAGAGCATCCGTACCCTCTTTTAGCTTCCATAGGTACACCACCACATGTTGCATATACCCACACACATACACATAAAATAAAAATAAATCTTAAGGCGGCTGGAGAGATGGCTCAGAGGTTAAGAGCACTGCCTGCTCTTCCAAAGGTCCTGAGTTCAATTCCCAGCACCCACATGGTGGCTCACAACCATCTGTAATGAGGTCTGGTGCCCTCTTCTGGCCTGCAGGCATACACATAGACAGACTATTGTATACAAAATAAATAAATAAATAATAATTAAAAAAAAAAAAAAGCACTGGCTGCTCTTGCAGAGGACCTGGATTTGATTCCCAGCTCCCACATCAGGCAGTTCACAACCATCTGAAACTTCAGTGCCTCTGGTTTCCACAGGAGTTTGCAATCATGCAAATACCCACGTGAAGACACATCCTAGACTAATTCACAATAGGAATAATAATTTTTTAAAAATCTTTAAAAATGATGCCAAGCCCAGATGGCCTCCCTACCTGGCCCCTCTGACCTTTGCTCCCAGGTGCGTCTCCTGGCCCACACCTATGGAGCTCTGGTCCACCTGGATGGGGCGCGGCTGATGAATGCAGCCGTGGCTCTGCGTGTGCCCCCCGCCCGCCTTGTGGAGCACTGTGACTCTGTATCCTTCTGCTTCTCTAAGGTAGGCAGACCTTCCCGAGGCAGATGGGGTGTGGGTACCCCACTGAGGATACAGCTGGACCCCTGAGCCTGGCGGACCCGCTGGTCCTGGGCTGCGCAGCCTCCGCCTTCCCCACCTCCAGGACGGGTTCCAGGAGTCTCTCCTCTCTTCCCTTAGGGTCTTGGTGCACCAGTCGGGGCGCTGGTCGGTGGAGCCAAAGGCTTCATTGAGGAAGCCTGGCGCCTCCGCAAAGCCCTGGGTGGAGGCATGCGCCAGGCTGGAGTACTGGCTGCGGCTGCCATGGTGGGACTGGCTGAGGCAGAGGAGGTGCTGCCAAGGGATCACGAGAATGCCCGGAGATTTGCTAAAGGTGCCTGGACCAGTGCCCACCCCACTCCCCTTCGCTCCCTACTGTCTGGGCCTACATGTCCCCAGCAGCAGAACTAGGCCCCAGCAGATCTGCACCCCAAAGCCTCTATTAAGCTTCTAGGATGGGACCTGGGCTCTCCTGCCTCACCAGGCCCTACTCCATGGGCACTCACGGGTACTCACACAGGGATGCAGCCAGCTGGGTCAGGAACAAAGACAGCGTGGAACCTCCAATGTGGGTCTTCTGCGCATTTTTTAAAATGTCATAACAATCCTATGATGTCCCCACATCTGAGACCCAGAAAAGTGGAAAAGCAGGATCCAACTCATGTTCTCAAATGCCACATCAGGGCTCAGGGTCTATTTCCCCACAAGATAATTGGGCTGCTCTCCTGCCTTCCCTGAGGATCAGTTGGGTTTGGGTACTCACCGCCGGTGTCTGGCTGCAGGACTCCGGGACCTGGCATCACCCGTTTGCTCTGTGGATCCTGACACTGTGGAGACCAACATGGTGCTGGTGCAGGTGGCGGGGCTGCCTCCTGCAGAGCTGTGCCAGCGCCTACAGGCTGTGAGCGCTGAGGAGGTGGCTCAGACTGGCCGCGCTGTGAGCGTGCTGCTGTTTCCCTGGACAGAACACTCCGTGCGGATCGTGTGGCACCGGGATGTGTCTGCTCAGGACACGGAACTGGCGCTGAGGAAGTGGGAGTTTGTGCTGAGGCAGTTGAGGCCCTGAGGTTGGGAGACCAGGAACCCTGTGCCCTGGCTAGGATTGAAGTGTGGAGCAAGGTGGTCTAAGCCATTAGCCTAGCAAAGGCCCGCCCTTCTGGGGGATGACGACACCACTCTGCCTCTGAATTCCTCCACTGACACTCTTGCGATGGCCTCATTCAGTCACGAATAACCAGGCATAGGCTGGGATAAGATGGGGCTGAATATCAAGAGAAGGGAATGAATACAGAAAGCAGACCTGGGGCTGGCACATGCAATGTGACTGCCTGGTGTGCATAAGCCCCAGGTTCAGTCCCCACACTGTATCAACAGGTGTGTTGACTCACACCTGTAGCTAAGAAATTAGAAGTTCAAGGTCGGGCTGGAGAGAGATGACTCAGAGGTTAAGAGCACTGCCTGCTTTTCCAGAGTTCAATTCCCATCAACCACATGGTGGCTCACAACCATCTGTAATGAGATCTGACGCCCTCTTCTGGCCTGCAGCCATACATGCAGGCAGAACACTGTATAGATAATAAATTTTTTTTTAAAAGATCAAAGTCATTTTCAGATACAGAGTTTGATTCAATCCTGGGCTACACGAGACCCTATCTCCAAAAAACAGATCCTTGTGTGACTGGCATAGTTATTAGAGATGGACTGTAAAATAATAGTGTGGATTCCCCTCTGTGTGCTGTAATTACCATTAATGAATAAAGAAAGTGCTTTGGGCCTGTTGATAGGGCAGAACTTAGGTAGGTGGGGAAAACTAAATGGAATGCTGGGAGGAAGAAGGTGGAGTCAGGGAGCTACCATGGAGCCTCCAGAGTCAGACATGTCGAAACTCTGCTGGTAAGCCACTGCCACATTGTGATACACAGATTAATAGTAATGTGTTAAATTAAGATGTAAGAGTTAGCCAATAAGAAGCTAGGGCTAATAGGCCAAGCAGTGTTATAATTAATATAGTTTCTGTGTGGTTATTTTGGTTCTGGGCAGCCAGGATGAACAAGTGACCCTTCCCCCAACAAAATAAAGTACTGAAGGAGTTGTATTTGTATTTTTATCTCCCAGCTAAATACATAACAGAAGCAACAGGTTCAATTCCCAGCACCCACACAGTGGCTCACAACCATATCTAACTCCAGTTCCAGGGGATCTGACACCCTCTTCTGGCCTCCACTGGCACCAGGCATGCATATAATGCATAGACATATATGCAGAAAAACACTCACATACATAAAAAGTAAAAAAAAAAATCAGTATCGGAGCTGGAGAGATGGTTCAGCAGTTAAGGGCACTGGCTCGATTCCCAGCACCCACCTGCCTGCTCACAACCGTAACTCCAGTTCCAGGTAGAGGTGGCTAAGAAGCTGCCATCGTGTGCAGGACGATGGAGACGCAGGCGGGGGCATCAGCGTGGTGGACAGTTTGGGCCGCAGCGAGTGCACTGGAAAAGAGGAGGAGCCTGCAGCAGAGGATTTTCTGTCTCTCCCCTCACCCGTTAGAAGACTCCAGATATCTCTGGCCTGGTGTTTGGGGTCCCCAAGGCCCCAGAGCTTGTCTCCTGAGGTGGTGGTAAAGCATGAAGCCTGTGCCTTCTTTATTCTCCCATACGCCTTCAGGGACAGGCAATATGCACTAACCCACTGCTGGACAAGAACTTCCCCAGACAAGCTAGTACCTAAAACTGGCAGGAATCCCCCACTAGTTCTCAGAGCTTCTGGGATTAGGGACTGGAGGGTTAGTTTAAGCTCTGTTTGGCCTTCCCAATCAATAAATGCTCTACGTGGGTCATCTGCCTCCATGGTGGCTGGTCGGTACCCCTGCTTTATATCCGTCTGCCTGGGCAAGCCTCTGCTCACCCCAGCCTCACTGTGGTCGGCTCCCCTAGCACCAGCGACCTGCCAGGTGTCTGCTTCTCCCCGGGTGCCCCCAGGAGTGTCCGAAAAGGACCTGAAGGGAAAGACCATCTCCCAGCCATCTGGAGGCTGCTGTTATGATGTGTGGGTGCTGGTTGGGGTGAGACCTGCATCCAGGAGACACTGAATCCTTATGGTTCAAGCTATGGAGGCATCAGAGGAGAGATGGCATGGCAGAAGGAAGGTAAGAGAACATTTGCAGGCAGAGGTAGTGAGCCCTGTGCTGCCATGGGACGTCCTAGCTGCCCACATTTGGCTGCAGGAACTGAGGCGCACTCACACGGAAGGGTGAGTCCGCTGTCTGGGGGGCTTGGCTGCCACTGAGGCTGGCTCTTGTCTATGTGGGCAAGCTTCCCACTTGTCTCTCTTCTCTCCATGTAAGACACATGGTACCCTGGAGCCTGCTGTCTGTCCACATCAGCTCTGAGCTGCTAACGACTCCCCAGGCAGCACAGTCCAGCCACCCAGTGAGCTGTGAAACAGGACACAAACCCTTGGGCCGGTTACTAAGGAGACTGGCCTGTCAGAGCAAAGGCCTCGGCTAGCTTCAGTAAGTCCCATGCCCACGTACACAGGCACATCCCCTCAGGCAGCTGTGGAGATCTTTGCAGCCACGGTGTGGGTCTTCCCCAGTGTCACCTGGGAACCTAAAGCCACCACATCAGTGGGGCTGGAATTCACAAGCTAGCTTCCAGCAGGCAGACAACCTCAGCAAATGTTCACAAAGCCCAACAGGGAGAGGCGGTAACTTTGCTCTAGCTCCCTGTGAGCCAGCCCACACCCTGCTGAGGCCCGAGGCTCCTCTCGGTCTCTGGAGCTAGGAAGGAGGCAGTTACAGCTGCAGACATGACAGACTGCACACACACACGCACACACACACGTGTGCACGCGCACACAGGATATCTGTGACAGGCACACGCATGCAGGGCACGTTACTGATGGCCAGAAACACGCACACTGGTGTGTGTTCTCCCTTCTACATTATGAGGAATGAGTATCTGTTACCTATTTTGAAGAATTCTAGGCTGGCCCTATTGATGCACACCAGAAATCTCAGCCCCAGGGAGGCTGTGGCAGGAGGCAGGGAGTTAAGGCCTACACAGTAAGGCTTTGTCTCTGTGCCCCCCCCAAAAATAATACATATTGCAGCTGGTTTATTCGGACACGTGGCAGTGCTCTTACGTGGAATGGCAAAAACCAGAACACAAACCGGGAGGGAAGTTGCCATCAGCCCCAGTCCTCTGCTCTCAATGGTCACATGAAACCCTGCAAAGGACTCCCCTGCTCCCTGCAAGCTTCCCACAGCCATAGAAGCAACCAGTGGCTTGGGGACACTGCTGAGACCAAGCCTTGAGAAGGACTACCTTCCTTAATACGTATCCCAGACTCAGGAAGAGCCTGCACCAGGATCAGGGTTGTTTGGGGCTTTCGGGTATTGTGCAGCCCCTAACTTACAGCTGTCCACCGTCCAGTAAATAAACACAGGTCTACCCCCTCTTACGTGGCCAGAGGTGATTCAGCTCCCACCTCTGTTGTCCCAGTCAGGGACAGTCAGAGAGTGGGCTGCAGGCAGCCTGTGAGCTGACCCATCCACCTGCAGCCAAATCCCCAGGCCGAGCTTCCTCCTCCAGAAATTCCTCTATCCAGGCAACCCGGGGGCCAGCCAGGCATGGCCCCAGCTCACCCAGGTGTGGCCAGTCTCAGACACGCTCCTGGCTGGTGCTGTAAAGAGGAAGTTCCAGGGCAGCAGGGCAGCAGCCAGCATCAGAACAAGGCCTGAGACTCGAATGTCCACCCTGCCTGGAAGCACTATTGAAAAGGAACCTAGACTGTACCTTCCCCCCTCAGCCCTAAGCCTCCACCCATCAGCCTCCCCTTGGGAGAGAGAACAAAACAGAATCCAAGGGATCCGGCCAAACTGCAGTGTCACCGGGATCTGCTGTCTGTTCTTGGGTTTTCTGGCCTCAGTTTCCCACTCTGTGACGGGAGGTGAATGATAACCATGGCTCAGACTGGGGGGTGGAGTGGTATGGAAGCCCTTGGCCAGCTCCTGACCCAGAATTGGACTGTGTCTTAGTTCTCAAGGGCTGGAACGAGATACACCCCTCAGAGCAAGAGTACCCCCTGGACACCCAGGACCCTGAGGTACCCACCAGGACTGTGCCATTGAGAGCTCATGACTTGAGGCATGGCTCTCCGTCTGCCCTGTCTGCCCTTGTCCTGTCCAGCTGGAGTGAAGGTGGGCACTTCCCCAACAGCATCCCCGTGGTACCTTCCGGCCAGGATTCCAGCAAACGCCAAGGGTGCCTGAGCCTTCCTGCTCCCCACCACCCTGCCACACTGGGACTCAGATGACCACAGATTGGGGCATTCCTGGGCGTTGGCGCAGGCTGAGGAACCGGGCAGCTACGGGCAAGAGCGCACCACTGAGCACCTCCGAGGCACAGGAGCCCCAGGCCAGGGCCAGCGACCAGCCGAAGCTGATGTGCACGTCCTGGACATGCTGCGTGCCATACAGGCGGGCTGTCTCCACGAACGCCAGGTGTGAGTAGCTGATGTAGCTGCTGACTCCTGCCAGAGTCAGGGCACCTGGGGAGAGAGGGCAAGACGCTATGAAGCAGAATTTAGTGCATTGCACTCTGGGAAAGGCAGGGATGGGGGCAGAGGGAGTGGAATGGCCACACTCTGGCTTCCCCAGGAGCCAACACAGGTATTGTCCATCTCACCTGCAGCACCCAGCTCCCTGGAATGGCACCCTGTCTCCCAGCCTGACCCCTCTTACAGCCTATCTCCCAGTCAGTCCCTGAAGCCTTGGCTGACAACTACAGATCCCTCTACCTCCGCCCCTGCTATCCAGACTCAGGGGACTCCCTCCACTCCTTACCCTCTGAGGGCGAAGTATACTCTGCTCAGGAAAGGTGTGGTCAGCCTCCGCTAGAAGCTGCCTTCTGACTCTCTGCCCCTATCCATGTCTTCAAGGAAAATGCAGAGGCTCCCCCATGTCAGCATGAAGTTTCCCAGTTAGAATCCCCAACCCAGTGGCTTCTTAATTGGATTTTGCACTCAGTCTCCTGGGTCAAGGCTGTCGCAGATATTTTGATTATCCTGATTTCACTCTCTAGAGACCTGGGTCTGAACATTTGCCTGTCTCATTAGTTTGTGGCTTCGGGTTCCCCATGTCAGGCCCAATCCACTCTTAACAAAGGTCCCCTGAAGAGCCTTGTGTCCCCTGGAGGGAAGCTGACTTGTCTGGGAGATCTCATTGTGGTCACAGCCACAACAGTACGACTGACTGGAGGCAACAGACCAGCACAGGCCTGAGCCCAGTGATAGAGATAGAGGCTGCTGCAGATGGACCCCTACGGGGCCACCTGCTCACTTTGGCGACAGCTAGCCTAGGGTTGCTGAAGCAGACTGTACCAAGAAGCACTCAAGGGGACCTAAGCATCAGCATCCTTCCGGCTCTGGAAGCTTTGGGGGTCTAACCTGCTGAAGTGTCCTCAGGAGCCACCAGGGAGCTCTTGGCCTGACACTAGTTATAGC